GAATAATCTCTTATAAATACAATTATCGATATTTTAAATGTTTAAAAATATTTTTACTGTAGTTTTGTTTGAAATATGGATCTCAAAAGAGAAATAAAATGTTATGCTTTTGAATGCAATTCTATTAAATGGTGCTTTAAATACAATCTCTGATTTATAGTAAATGTTAAATAATGAGATATCAGGATATGAGACATATCTTTGAATAGATTTCCTGTATTCATACTCATATATATAACTAAACAAAATTTGAAAATGCTTTATTAGTATAAATCCGGTGTTAATAGAAAGTATTTCTCCTTCCCAAACAGTCTGGTTAACAAAATTATTTGATTTTTACAACGAGGATAATTTACCCAATAAAAATATATTCAAATGCATTCATTAAAGAATGTCAAGTTTTAAATATATGGTTAAATCACATCAATCGTTTTATCACTATTTTTTATTAAATCATAAAATGACATTCTGTCATCAATAAACGTTTAATATATTTTTATGTTCAAATTTTAAGTAAAACTATTATTAAACAAATTATAATGAATTTTAAAGTTTACTCGTTATTCTTATTGTGTACATTTGTTGTGGAGATTAAGTCAGAATTTAATCAAAGTTTGAACCGTCAAAAGAGATGTAAGAAATGTCCCATTTTTGAGAGAATAAAATATTTCAAGTATTTGTCTTAAATAAAAGAAATTGTGTATCAAACCTTGAAACCAGAGTTATCACCTCCAAAACCACCAAAATTGCCTCCAAGCCCTCCTCCATATCCTATAAATGGTCCTGACCCTAGTCCGAAACCTGGATTTGATATCAATGGCATTGATTCAAGAATTAGTGAAACGCGGTGTTCACTACCGTTGTCTTGGCCCTATACACAGGCGTGCTGTCGGCTCACGTGCTCAGCACCGCCTGCTGGCAATCCTCCGACAATACGCTGGGGTGTTAAACCTAGATTGGTTCCAAACTTTAATTTATTCAAAACCATGTAATCGAATTTCTTATATTATAAAGGGTCCAATTCAATCAATTCAATAAATGTCAATTCATGGCCACAACAACAGGGAATTCCTGTAGGAATTTGTTGTTTTTGTATGTATTGTCAATAATTTAAAAAAATTAATGGCAAAAAATATATTTAAATTTACAAAATATTATTTGTTAAGTTCAAGTGACGTGTGGCGGAACCATTATAAACAATGGCACTTAGTATGTATCATGTTATTTATATTAAAACATTACCTCAAATTGCATTATAACTGAATTTGTGACAATAATATCTCTATTGCGTTAAGTTTTCGTAACCCAAACGCACCGTCGCCTTACACGGAGTCCAGAGCTTGTTCTGTATCCGTACAGAGACTGAGACCAGATGTCTGTCAATTGAGATTAGATTTTCTGGTCTTTGATATGAGTCGTCCGCGTGACGGCACCTGTGATTCCGATCGATTTGTAGTAAACGGACAAACGCAGAACAGCATTATTCCTCCCGTTTGTGGCTATAATACGGGACAACACAGTGAGTGCATATGAGATTAACTATGGTAAACATTAACATGTTGCTTGGTTTTAGTGTACATCGATATGTCATCGACCAATAGTCCTGTAACTCTAAATGTATTAACAATGGGAAACAGAAATAGACTTTTTGATATAAGAGTCACACAAATTCATTGTTCCAGTGGTTATAGAGGTATTAATTATTATAATATAAGAAATGTTTAAATACTAATGAACTAAAAAATTGAATACATTGACAGCACCGGCTAATTGTCTTCAATATCATATCGGAGTTCAGGGCTCTATTCGGTCATTCAATTACGACGAGCCGAATGTGGCCCAACAGGGAGGATATCTCAACAATTTAGATTATACCATCTGTTTTAAGAAAGAGCCCGGATTTTGTACGGTCACATATTCTGTGCCCACAGTTTACGTACACATCAATGACCCAAATCAGTCACAAGAGGGTCCGCTCACAATACCTCCGGGAAGATATTTCAATATAATCCCCGACACATCGACAAGCAATCCCGTTGGCAACGATCAGGCGGTAAACGCTAACTTTTTTGACAATCATTTTCATGAGTTTTTTGAGCGAAAAGTATGTTTGAAAGCGTGAAATGTGTTGTCGTTAAGACTTATCGAAGGATTAGTGCCCAATGTATTCAATAATATATTTAATTAATCAGTAATCTTATATATTTTGTAACTCATTTTAAATTCAATGTTTAGGTTCTTATTATAAAAAATATTCCCACAATCAATGCGACCATATTTGTTGTAAATTACATTTTCACATTTATTTATCACAATATCTTTGGATTATTACTACATATCAAGAATTATATTTTAAAGTTAGAAAAACCAAATTAAATTTATATTTAAACTGATTATTTCATAAACCAAAATATTACTATTTAAATGTAAAAATTAGTTTAATTTATTATATTTTTAAGTTTAATGTTGTTAATTTTAATTTAATATATTAATTATATTAAATTTTAATTAAATATTTATATTGAATTCATCGAAACCCATCGTTATTTGTATTATGACTGATGTGTTGAAAGCATTTATTCATACAAGTGTTCATATCTTGAAGTGTGTTCCTGTAAAATATATTCAAAATTTTAGAAATGAATTAATATTAAAAAACATATCAATACTAACTGATGACGACTATAGCAAAAGAAGCCGCACTGGGCTATGATTCCCACGGGATCTTTGAAGGCCGGTTGAGGTCTTCTTTTATAGCATCCATGACCTCATTATTATCACAAATTAATTATCTATATTTTTAAACTATATTATATTACATTAAACTTACCTGCAATTAGTAAAATACATACAATTATCGACAATTTATGCATTGTTATCGAATATGTCTTTTAAACCCCATATGTTATACACTTATCAGAAATTAAAAATTAATTATTTTTTATAAAGTTTCAAATTTCAAAATATTTATTAATACAGTATTGCAAGCGTTTGGGAGGCTAAATGTCAATTAAATATACATGAAATATATGTTATAAAATATTAAAACTGTTTATTAAAATACAATATTAGATCCATAATCTAATTATAATATATTTATCCGCCAATCAAACAGGGATTCATTCTGTAGTTGAGATTAAATCCTCGGCCAACTTCCTGGTGATTGGTTACAAAGCGGGCATATATTGGTCCAGTGCTGTTGTCTATGTAATACATTAATCGGTCTATCCGCCAATCAAACAGGGATTCATTCTGTAGTTGAGATTAAATCCTCGGCCAACTTCCTGGTGATTGGTTACAAAGCGGGCATATATTGGTCCAGTGCTGTTGTCTATGTAATACATCGATGGGTCCATTATTTAATGAAAATAACTATTAAATTGAAATGAATTACCGGTCACTTCGGAGTTAACCGATGGGTTCGGAAGGGGAGGAAATAATTGGCCATTAAATCTTGAGCCGCAAAGTCTTCTTCCGGCCAGAAATAGATAGTCAAAGGGACAGTCGTAAGGACCGGCACCCGCCTGATCGTTGCCAACGGGATTGCTTGTCGATGTGTCGGGGATTATATTGAAATATCTTCCCGGAGGTATTGTGAGCGGACCCTCTTGTGACTGATTTGGGTCATTGATGTGTACGTAAACTGTTCCGCCTGATCGTTGCCAACTGGATTGCTTGTCGATGTGTCGGGGATTATATTGAAATATCTTCCCGGAGGTATTGTGAGCGGACCCTCTTGTGACTGATTTGGGTCATTGATGTGTACGTAAACTGTAGGCACAGAATATGTGACGGTGCAAAATCCGGGCTCTTTCTTAAAACAGATGGTATAATCTAAATTGTTGAGATATCCTCCCTGTTGGGCCACATTCGGCTCGTCGTAATTGAATGACCGAATAGAGCCCTGAACTCCGATGTGATATTGAAGACAATTAGCCGGTGCTGTCGATGTATTCAATTTTCTAGTTTATTATTATTTAAACATTTCTTATATTATGGTAATTCATACCTCTATAACCACTGGAACAATGAATTTGTGTGACTCTTATGTCAAAAAGTCTATTTCTGTTTCCCATCGTTAATACATTTAGAGTTACAGGACTATTGGTCGATGACATATCGATGTACACTAAAACCAAGCAACATGTTAATGTCTACCAAAGTTAATGTCATGCACTCACTGTGTTGTCCCGTATTATAGCCACAAATAGGAGGAATAATGCTGTTCTGGGTTTGTCCGTTCACTACAAATCGATCGGAATCACAGGTGCCGTCACGCGGACGACTCATATCAAAGACCAGAAAATCTAATCTCAATTGACAGACATCTGGTCTCAGTCTCTGTACGGATACAGAACAAGCTCTGGACTCCGTGTAAGGCGACGGTGCGTTTGGGTTACGAAAACTTAATGCAATAGAGATATTATTGTCACAAATTCAATTATAATGTAATTTCATTTAATGTTTTAATATAAATAACATGATACATACTAAGTGCCATTGTTTATAATGGTTCCGCCGCACGTCACTTGAACTTAACAAATAATATTTTGTGAATTTAGTTATATTATTTTTTCATTAATTTCTTAAAATTATTGACAATACATACAAAAACAACAAATTCCTACAGGAATTCCCTGTTGTTGTGGCCATGAATTGACATTTATTGAATTGATTGAATTGGACCCTTTATAATATAATGAAGTTGATTACATGGTTTTGAATGAATTAACCAAACCTTGGTTAGATCCAAATTGTGGGGTCGCATAACAGCCTCCTAACGGTCGTCCGCCACGACTCGTGCACTCGGCTGTCGTGCGGACACATATCCCGGTTCTGTTGCCATCACTTGTGGCGCAA